TATATATATATATATATATATATATATATATATATCTCTCTCTCTCTCTCTCTCTTTCTCTCTCTCTCTCGAAAATATAGTTAATTTAAATTTAGAATAATACATACAAAAATCACTGCCTTTGAGGAGGGCATATGCAATTTTGACTCTGTTTTATTACATTTGGGGCGAATACTTCTGATCTCTATTATTGCAAATATGAGACGAGTCGGATTGTGTGTGTTGGTCGCCAAGTGGTTCTCCACTGGCCATTCGGTATAACTTAATATTCCTCACCTTTAGTTGGAAGCAAAGGGAAGACCACTAACAAAAAGCTAATGTTAATGGCTCCAACAAGCATAAAGTGTTATTTGGTAGCCTTTATTTGGATCAATCCCAGCGCACTACTGCTCTCGTTTTCATGCAGCATCAGCTTATCTTGTCAGCTTTGTCCTGGCATAGTTTGATTGCTACTTCTCACTTCTACCACAGTGATGGTTGTGCAATTGTGCTTATGCAGAACAAGAACAAAGACAAATTCCCTTATTTCACCAATTCTACAACATGTTTTGTTCAGAAGTATGTCAAACTTTACATGTTTCTGCAGTACATGATATCACAGTTCACTTGTATGGCCTATTGACATTACGGTCTGTCAATTGAATATGTACAGTAACTATCAGTTTACAATCCAATGGATCGTCGAATTGGAGACTGATAAGATGTTTTCTGGTTTAATTCATCCAGTAAAAATAGAAAGCAACATCACATATGGAAGACACCGAGTCTAGTGAGAAGGTTGGATCTAGAAAGCTTGGAGTATGTAACAAAGATGAGTATCGATCGACGACACACAGTTGAAACACCATGCTATTATCACAAGAACAGTGAACACTGGGTATATATGTCGAGGGGCGTACCCTGACGAAATGTTCCTCCACCTCAGAGGCCGCGGCCGCTACGTGGGCAGTCCTCCACCTTGTGCCCCGGCTGGCCACAGTAAGAGCACGCATCTCGAACCCGAATCCGTTCACAGTCGATCATCATGTGCCACGCCTCACCGCAGAAACGACACACTTCCCCGCCTCTCCGGCGTCCAAGGCCCCAGAGAGTGTTGCCGCTGGGGCCGGTGACGTTGACAGCGTTGGGGATTCCATCGTTGCCCTCCTCGACGGAGAACTCGATGACCTCGTCAATGTGGAGCGCGGGGACGTCCTCGCCCCCGAAGGAGGACTGGTCGAAGAGGTTGTCCCCTCCGCTACCGGGGTCGACCGACGTGATGTTGACGGCCTTGGGGTTACCATCGTTGCCCTCCTCGATGGAGAACTCGACGAACTCGCCAATGTGGAGCGCGTGGACGTCCTCGCCACCGAAGGAGGACTGGTCGAAGAGGTAGCCCCTTCCTCTGCCGGGGTCGACCGGCGTGATGAAGCCGGAGCCGTCTTCCTCAATCCACGTCACCGTTCCCCACCACCTCCTCCCTTCTTCCATCTTTGCACCTCTCGTTCGTGTGTTAGCGTTGTAAAATATGTCTAGTGTCGTAAGATGTTTTCGACGTATTTATAATAATTCAAATTGCTTGAACTACAAGACTACTTGAAGAACAAGAAATCTAAATATGAAAGAAAGGTTATAGGTGAAGAAAAGAATCATCAATATGTGGATTTAATTGTTCTCTTTGACAGGAAACAATATCCGAAAGTCCTTTAAATGTTGTTGGTTTCTACATACAGAAAGGATGAAAGAAAATTTAGATATATTTTTTTAAGATTTAGGTAAAAGACTACATAAGAAAAATCTATTTTTGGATTGAGATTAACACAAGTGAAGTTGCGATTTATGTTATAAATGATGCTTTAATTTACAATATACAGTGGACAATCATATTCATAAAAAATATTTATATTGATTTTTTTATTATTTCTTTTTGCTCTATCCTTAAGAGTGGATTGGTGACACATATGATCAGAATAGAAACCAACCAATAAATTTCATGATTTAAAAAGGTAGAATCTCAATCCAAATTAATAATAGCAAACAATGACAACCTCATTCAGAGAAGGTCATCATCTTGCTCATTTATGTTCTTAGGATACATTAATTAGTTTGCATAAGATTGTTTTCCTCGATTAAAAGGCTAAAGGTGTTTAAATCGAATTCAATATTTTATTTAGTTTATAATTTTAAATATTATATTTTAAATGAATCGATTTGATTTGATGAATCGGTTGAACATAATAAAAATTTTAGTCCAATTAGATTGACACGATAAGATTTATAAAATTAAACTCGTATCATTTGTGAAATTATAACATCGAGGTTAGGTTAATATCGTCATCCTAAGTTTAGTTTCATCGTCAATTGGTAAAACTCAAGTGCCCAAAAGATTTTTATAAATGGATCACCGGAATCGTTTGTAGTCTTTAACATCGAGTTATCGATAAATCTCAGTTTTTGATTTAACTTAAATATGATGATAAAATGACATCAATTAAGATATCTCATGTTTAAGAGAAATTATGAACATTATAAGCATAATAACACTTAACATCGATCAAACACCGGTGCATTCAAGTGCCTCATCTAGAAGACCAACTTTATTCCAGAGAATGTTCCACAGCCACTTCTCTTCAACGTCACAAAGGTTACCTGGAAGCTAAGAGACCTTCCATCAACTGGCTTCATTTCCTGAATGATGGAGGTTTCCTAACCATTGTTGCTTGCTCAAACGCATACGCAATCTCGATCAACTTGGGTTCTGAGCCCTTCACTCCTCCAAAGCATATCCCAAAGGGATCTCCAGCTGTGCCATACCCCGCAGGAACACTGATGCCTGGGTACCCCCCAATCGCCAGAACGGAAGTGACACCAATATTCCCTGTGACCACTGCGTCTAATCTGTTCTCCATCATCAACCTCTCCAATCCTTGGATGGAAAGCTGAGTCATTCTGGCAATGGCACTCTTTTCAGCAGGACCTATTCCGGTAGTGTTCTGAGCTGCTAGAAACACGAGCTGTCCAAATTCCTCTACTCTTTCCTGTATCAAAGAGATGATCCACTTGTAAATGTGTTTGAACAGGAAATGGGTGAAGATAGGTTTGCGAGTTATGCTAACCTCAATCCTGTGTTTGTCGTTGAAAGCTATCACATCTGCAAGAGATCGTACAGGTGAAGAGGACAACTCTGACAAGTATGAGTTCAGTGCCATCTTAAACTCAGCCAGCAATGCAACCTCTTCACCGCTCTGCGCGGCGTCAAGAATGATGCTCAAGTTTGATATCTCAAGGTTGTCGATCAAGATGGCTCCTTTTTGCCTGGATGTGATGAATGAAAGATACTGTTAGATAGAAGCTAAATCAAACCAACTTCGATCGTACACACGGAAGAAAGGATAAATGGCATCCTCACCTCATGGTGTTGAAGTGCTCTTCGAAGACCTTTTGTTGGACAGATCCATTTGGGAAGGTGAAGAATGCCCTCAGGATCCCGATCCTTTTGCCTCTCAGTCCATCCACCTGCAAGAACTGCTTGTATCCACCTCGAGGTATGTACTTCGATGCTGCTTTAGTTGCCACTGCATCTCGCTGATCGAAACCCACAATAGCCTCCAACACTTGCACGGCATCTGACACCGTTCGACCAATGGGGCTGCCCACAAGACATAATAGTGAGGTTTCTTGTTGTCTTATTGATGAGGACGGGGAAGACGAGAGGTGCAACCCCTGCTGATAAAGCAAGAAGGGCTCTGTTGTCTTACCCGACCGTGTCCTGTCTCGGGGAGATGGGAACGACGCCGGCCCGGCTGGTGAGGCCGACGGTGGGTTTGATCCCCGCCACCGAGTTGAAGTCCGAGGGACAAATGATGGACCCATCCGTCTCCGTCCCCAGCGTCACCGTTGCCATGTTGGCCGCCGCCGCTATCGCCGATCCGGTGCTTGAGCCGCACGGATCCGCCGACAGCACGTACGGGTTCTGCATTCCTACCGGCGGATACGTGAACGAGCACCAAGCAAGTGAAGCTCGTGAGGGATAGGTGAGCGAATCGAGCAACTTACCCGGCCCTGCCCGCCGCGCGCGCTCCACGAGCTCGGCGCGTCCAGAGAGCGGAAGTTGGCCCACTCCGCCATGTTGGCCTTCCCCAGGATTACCGCTCCCGCCCGTCGCAGCCGCCGCACCACCCCCGCGTCGCGTGGCACCTTCGAGCCCAGCAGCGCGAACGAGCCGGCGGTGGTGTTGAGCCGGTCCCGCGTGGCTATGTTGTCCTTGAGGAGGACCGGGATGCCGTGCAGGCCCCCGCAAGGACGGCGCCCGCTCCGGCGCTCCCGGTCGGCCAGATCGGCCTGCCGCAGCGCGTCCGGGTTCACCTCGATGACGGCGTGGAGGAGCGGGTTCAGGGCGCGGATCTGCGTCAGGTAGAACTCCACCAGCCGGCGGGATGTGAGGCTCCCCTCCCTGAAGGCCAGCTGGATGCCGTCGATGGTCGCCTCCTGGAACTCGAACCCACGGCAGGGGAAGGTCGAGAGGAGAAGCAGCAGCAGAGCCGTGAAGCGGCAGATGGAGAACGAGAGGGGGGGCATCACTCCCATCTGCATATATCCCACGATGGATTATGCGTGAACGGAGGGCATCGCGGTTGGAAATCCGATACAAATAGGCGCTCGTGCGATGAAATCTATGATCCGTTGACCCAAAAGTTTTGTGTGGGCGTGCCTGATGTTGTTCACCGGCTGCTTGCATACCCCATGGAAATAGCAAGTGGCTTCATCTCGGATGCCCTGTTTTCGTGGCAGGTGCTGCTTGGACTCTACCGATCGCAAACGGATCGAAGCCTTTTAGTAAAGCCAAGCGGTGGAATCACTCGTGGATGGCCGTCTTCCTGGCGTCACACACGGGAAGGTGAGAACTCGATGATGAATGTTGACTGATCAGAATAATCTCCAAGCTCGAAGACGAAGACGAAGACGAAGACGCAGGCCAAGTGGGCTTCTGTCACCTGGTCAAGGCTCGGCCCGAATGTCCACAATTCATTTTATTTAGGCAAAGTTGCACGCTTATATCTAACGAGAGTGATAAAGTATTAATTAATTCATCATCATCCAAGTCTCAGCCAAGTGCAAGAAAACGATTCCAATGCAACTTATATTACTATAGTGGAATCAAAACAGAAGGCAATGACATTAAACCAGTCTTTGGCTTGGCTGTTCATAAGTACGCAATGTCAATAGCGCTAGCACATCCATTTTAAATCGAGGCCAACCGGCACCGGCCGGCGGCATCGCTTTCAAGATCTACATGGGGTGAAGTTGCAGCCAACTGTTTCAACACCAAATGCCCCGGAGTTGGCCATTCGAAACCGCAGCGCCACCGTGAGAGCATCCTGTGGAGAGCCGACCAGCGCCCGGTTCATGAGGTCGAAGACACTGAGCGTGGGGTACAGGAAGTTGAGGGTGTTGTAGGAGTTGAGGAGGGAAGCGGTCGCTTCACGGAGGAGCGTTCTGTAGAGGTCGCCCCGCCCGTGGAGTGCTTCCCACAGGGTCAGCTCCACCCCGTATCTTCCTGCTGCCACGGGCCCGAAAGCAATTGCCACTCTGGTGTCGGGGTTCACTGCTCTCCAGTAGCACTGGTACTGTGGCATCAGCCATTTACTACGCGATCGCAGTGTTAAAGATAACGTCAGAAGGAATGTGGAAGCGCAAATGGCATAAGAAAGACGGGGAAAGCTGCGGAGCGTACCCGTAGGGGCAAGCAGAGACCTCGAACAACGGCAGCGGCGGCGTAGGAGGCGGCACTGGCAGGGCCGGCGTCGGCGTGGGACTCGGCAACGACGGCGCGTTGGGGCAGAACCCAGCGGGCACCTGCGGTTCCGACAACAGCGGCTCCACGACGTACATGGCCATCCCGAACATCCGGAACAGCAGCGTCAGCCCCTGCGCCGGTCCCGCCGCCGCACCGCACCCGGCCGGCCCGCCCACCACCCTCGCGTAGCAGCCGCTCAGGTCGGGGCTGCCGTCGAAGTATACCGAGTAGCTCCCGAACCAATTCGTCTCGTCTTCCCCGTACGCCATCTCCTTCCCGTCGGTGCCTCTGCAGACCACTGCCACCTTCGCTCCTAACATGACATGCTCAAATCATGTACACAACTCCGGCATTGTACCGAGACCTGAAAGCAAGGTAGTACGATCCAGGAATGGGTTCCTAAGGTGGTGGAACCTGAGAGACCGTAGTCCAAGAAGCCGCGCTCCCCGTCCTGGCATTGATCGCAGAAGACGGTCCCGGTCACGATCGTGTTTGCGCTCGCCAACGTCATGAATCCTTCTTCTTCTTCCCAAGAGATCGAAAGAATGGTTCCCAAAACCAACAGTACGACCTTCATGCGACCCATGACGGTGTAGTAATTGGAACTGAGGAGCGGAGGTGCAAACTATTAGAAGGGGAAGAGATGCTTTGGTTTGGAAGTAGAGGAAAAGGAGGGTGGGAGGTGGGAATGCTGTGGGTCGCAAGGGATCCATAAGAAGTTGGAATAAGCAGTAAATGGGGTTCGTATCCACCTCCTACCTGCCCCCATCCACTATTTACTGCAGCCTAAAAAGGGTTCCGTTCAGACGTTGCTCCTTCTGTGAGAGACTCGGAAATAAGTGCTATCTATGACGCAGAAAATAGCAGCTCTCTTCTGAGTGTTTGAAGAAGGCTGCGAGTAGAGTGCAGGTGCAAGTTCTACCACAAAGAAAACAGAGAGACGAAGAAGGTCTCTCATTTAAGCCGCGTTCAGTCTCATGCCATCATCGTCTGCTCCTGACGGTGGGTGGTTGGGAGCATTTAGATGCTTCCTCGTTTCGTTCTCGACCTTAATTTATCTCTCTACCGTGAGTTCGATTCTCAAGCTTGGTCTTTGGCCCCCTGTTTTCCACTGGGGACCTTGAGAGTTCACGAGATGTTTGACCCTCTCTCCACGGCCACCAATTGATCTCCACCAACTCTGCCAGTCTTTTCCGGCGAGATAACTCTCCATGCGTCCTGCTCACGAGCTTAATTAGTATTGCGTCGGATGGAAAGATAACAAAGAAAGAATGCAGTTGGTCTTGCGCTGTGACGCCCCGCTACGATTTAATGCATCTTACAGAGTTACAAATCATTTATAATGCATACTGCTCAAAAGAATATCTTAACAAAAACATATAGCTGATCACCAAGCCATCCAGTCCTTCATTCATATGGCTCTTTTCATTCATGTTAACTCTTCAATCACCATGTTAGTAGCCCATGGCCTAAAAGAATCCTTCTATCAATCTGTTCTGCAATTTGAACAACAATAGAATGAGCTCAAATGCCCAGTAGAAAAAGGGAAGAAGCCAATGGTAAGCTACTAACAATATGCTGTATACATAAATATCATTTATAAAAGTTAATCATGTATTATTCTGCATGAATAGAGGGTCAAAGAAAAAAAGGAGTAGGAAAGAATGATAATGCATATCACTGAATGATACCAAATAACATCATGATACTCATCCAATCATATTAGCATCATGTACAAACATCATCAATAGCATTTGAGAGGTCATAAACCATTGACGTCTCCGATCACTAGGGAGATGTATGCGTATGATGTCAATATCAATGAGATTATATTAGATCGAGTTTAGCATATAGTTCCAAAAATCAAAATCATTCTCATTTATAATAATTGATATTATGATCACCCTCAAAATATAATACTATTCTTACTAGATATTATGCTACATGTAATTTCAAGGATAAAAAATGTCATACTTGCAATGACTAGTCAGCTAGGTCATACATTTAATTTATTAGGTTAATCCCTTAAATTATAATGCTAATAGTAATAGATTATGGACCTTATTAGCATTATGATTTTTGTATTTAAAAAAATTATATTATGATCCCTATAACTATAAAAGTAAAATAAATAATCTTATTTAACTTAACGTTGTCTGTTAAACACAACACACACGTGACACCACATACTGGATTAGTATAAAAGTGATGGAAAAAAAATAATTTTAATATCCCTTTCATGTCATTTTGTTTTACCTCTACGCATAAAATTATCTCAATCAACTATAAAATTAAACAAAAACATAAAATTAGAGTTTAAAAATGAGCTCAAGTGAGCGTTCACTTGACGTCTCCGCATCCCAACTCACCTCTATTTGTGAAACACCCCTATCACTGTCACAGCAAAACAAGAACTAGTGAGGAGAGAGAGAGAAGTAACGATTCTCAAAAACCAATGATCATCATGAAGTTTCTAAGAGTTTTGTAAGAGTTTTCTCCACCCCTTGCTCGTCACCTCTAATCCCTTCTTCTATCCACCCTTCTTGGTGCAACTGGCCATGGTCATGATTGTCGTCGGTGCTATTCCCTCGAGCACAAACACCAATAGCCCCATCACCTTCGACCAAATGAGATGGTAACCATTAAAATTCACTAATTCGAAGAGGGTCATCATGAACGACGAGGATGCTGACGTCCACGATCACGCACTGGTTGCAAGACACATCATTGCACTAAAGCGTGACGGGAGATGGGAGAGTAGGAACGTCTGGATCAGGTTGTTGTCGTTGCCTCTTGTTCTGATCTTGATTGTCACCATGCTCTTAAGTACTGCACGTATTAGTATGTCCTATAAGAGGAAAGACGTGATGCTATAGATTAATAACGTACACTATAAGTCATCGAGTTAGATAGAGAGAAGGCCAAATCCACTAGTACTCCGATTCTGCTTTTATAATTATAAAATTTTGATCAATTTTACAATCGATTAAGATATTTTAATTTAAACAAAAAAAACTAAATGTGTGTTAAAATTATCCTTTTACATATTATTTTTATATTGACTCAATGATTTTACGTGTTGAATTTTTCATCGATACAGCCCCATGATATTAGGATAAATAAAATTATAAAAATCTTAATATAATTTTTTAAAAATATAAAATCGTGACGTTAATAGATCCAACTAATTAGCCCCTTAGCGGGCTGGACGGCGTCAACACCAAGAATGAGTTTCCCATGCTTTGCATCGGCTGCCCTCCGTTGTTGTCGTCTTGAAATGGAACGGTTGGATCTCGTCCCGAGTCTAAAGGTCCTCGCTTGTCTTGGCGTTCTTCTAATCTTCCTGGGTCGCAGCTATGGTTCTCTTACGCAGAATTCTTGTGTCACATCAAGTAGTTGCTGTGCCTAAATCATGCCTTTTCTTACAAAAACGTGTTTTTCCAAGCCTTCTCACCTCAGCTTTGGCTTGTGTTACACATCTTGCATGGTTTGTGTATGGCGTGACACATGAAAGGAAAAAGGTGTATCTAAATGGAAACTTTTCAAGCTCGAGTTATTGTAGATGCCCACCCACAACGCTTATTCCCCTTATGCCAACGAATGAGGATAATATTTTCGGCACACCCGTAAGAAAGCCTAGAAAATGGTGTTCATGGCCATCAATTGACAGAATGATGAATGGATCGCTCTTTCAGATTGCCACCGCAGCGTGCGTGTCATTCCAAGCCCATGCTTTGTTAACGTTGGAAGGGAAGGAAGCAGCACAAAGGCAAAGGCGAGCTTTTCATTTGGTCAGCGATGCGCCGTCACCAGCGTCTCGATGAATCTGAGTCCGTCGAACCTCGGCGCGAATTTGTCTTCCCCTCCCCTTCCCGATCCCGTTCCGGCGGCGCGATTCTGCCTCGACGTTCCCGATCCCTGTCAAGTCAGTCGACCCGTATGGAATTCTTTCGTTTTGTTTCCCTACCAAGAATCATGTGATTGAGGCGAGAACAGGAATACCTCCTCGGAGGACGAGGAGGGGGAGGGGCGGCTGGCGGCTGAGAGGGCGATGGAAGAGGCTGCCGCGACGGAGGCGGCCAAGGCCCCGGCCTTCTTCATCTCCTACCGACTTCTTGGTGTCGACGCCGTCTACCTTCCCTCCCGCCCTTTTAATGGCCCAAAAGAATCTCTTTGGCCCGGAAATTAACTACAATGAAATGTGAGTTTGGGTCCGACGTTGACGAAACCTCGGTTATCTTGTGCGTTGCTCGCGCGTTGAATCTCGGCTCGCGTCGTTAGGAATAAAAGAAACGCAATAACGGAACTCCAATTATCTACGTTAGCCGTGAGATTCTCTTCCTTTGCTTTCGGCGGGCTCTCAGATTTAAAGGCTGCATAGTGGGGCCGGCCATGGTTTTCTCTTTTGATTTTTTTTTCCGATATAATAATAAAAATAATATAAACATATATTCTTCCAAAGTTAATATATATTTTTTACTTTATATATTTCTATGCTTGAAAGTCCATTAACACGAAGATATGAAATTTTACTTCGATAAAAGATATTTTGGTATCACCCAATTGGTAGCTACCTCATATCATATGTAATGTTACTTTAGTCAAAATAGTATACACATCTCAAAGCAGTACAAAACGACACAGATCGATCCTAAAACAGTTTGTGTCCTAATGCAACATAGCCCGGCACAGAAGTGACGCCACCTAGCTCCAAAGCGATACATTGTAAGTCCGAAGTGGCGCATTACAAATCTGCGTCATTCGGAACCAAACGATGCTTATCAGCGAGGATGCAACCCTGCAAAGCATGGGATCGAAAGGATGATCTTAAAATAGATAAATCGCTCGTCGAAAATATCGACGAACGCCAATAAGGACAGAGGGAATCGACTCCCTATGAAAGGTATAAAAACCACCCCAAGGAGATGCCTAGGGTATAGGATTCACTATTCACAAAAACTGACTTAAGTATCGAAGAGATAAAATCGAAACTCCCAGGTGTTGACCTATTGTGCAGGAACTCAAGACCAGAAGCCCCTTACGGATTCATCGAAAAATACCCTAGGAGATGGCGACCACGAATCTTCGTCCCTTCTTCATGAAGTATTCCTTCTGAGTAACTACGTGGACGACCTTATACAATTGGGGTCGAAACTAAACCATACTCCTTCCCAAGCCATGATATAAAGAATTACAATAGTACTTAATACATGTAAGTTTGTAGAACAATGATATTGAAACTCCAATCGATATTATTATTATTATTTTGGATAAGATGGTTAACTTGCAGCCTCCAACTTTCATGTCAACAGCAATTCTGATTTTTTTAATATTGAGCATAATTTTGGAATATTTATTTCTCGTGTTAGATCAAAACATGTGATAAAATAATATCTAGTGAAAAGAAAAACTTAGTATAGTAGGAAGGAAAGTAGAAATGAAAAACAAAATAGTCAGTAGAAATAATAACATTATTTAGATACATATTCATAATTAAGGAAGTCACTGCTCATCATTGTCAACAATGATTAACCAGAATCTATTGGTATGTTTAACGAGCCATGCCTGCGACAGGTTGCTACACATGAGAACAGTGGAACGCGACAGTGCAGGTTTAGCCGGTAATGTTCTTGGCACATTCGGGGAATCCATTTCCTATGAAGACAACACCCTTTCTTGAAGCAAGTCGTCTTAAGCATGTTTGCTGCATATATAAGGTAGCTTACTTGTTGCCTGCTTGAAGTCATC